GTTGAAGCTTAGCAAAGTTGTCTCGTACGTATTGTTCGGGCAAGAACTTCTTCTTCAACAAGCTCCGCATTTTGAACCAAGTTTTCACCGGAGCCTTGTTTTCACGCCTTCTTTTGGTGGAAAGATTGGACCACCAAGTGGACGCATACTTTCGGAACTTCAACGCCACAATCTTGACTTTCTTATCTTCGGGCACATCTTTGAAATCAAAGACACGCTCAACTGTTTCCAGCCACTCTAGAAAGTCGTCCGGATCATTCTTTCCTTCAAAGGTTGGTATGTCAACCTTAAAATCAGTAGCTCCCTTTTCTGGTGCAGTTCCTCTAGTAGTGTGACTAAAATCAGCTTCTAGTTGAACTTCTTCCTTTTCTTCATCACTTTCTTCCGGAGTGTTCACCAAGTTCATTTTTAACTTCGTGAGTTGAGCAACCTGTTTTGCCAAGTACTCTACTTGGGCTTTGAGCTCGGTATTAGAAACCCAGAGCTCTTCATTGGTGATGCTTGGTGAAGTGTTTGACATATTGAAGAGAGTGGAAGGAGAGGGTTATGGCAGCAGTTTAGGCCGAGAAATGAAAGAAGAAAGGAAAAGAGTTGGAAGTGTGTTGTATGGCCTCAAGAGATGTTCAACAACAAGCTTTGATACCAAATGATAGGCACCCACTCCAAGGTAGAAAGACACAATTGGCAGTAAGGTAAAGGGAGGAAGTGATAAGGCTATATTGGTGAGGTTTTGTGCAAGGAATGGAGGATTTTAAGGGAGGGAAGACTAGGAACGAAATTGGCAGTGGGGAAGGAGTATTTTTAGGCTTTTGTTTAACTGGAAAAGTGGAGAGAAAAGTAATATTAGGGTGGTGGATGGGAGCAGGCCGAAAATAAGGGAGAAGAGAGAGGGGAAAAACAGTTTAATATTTCTTTGGGATAGATAAACCAAGTTGGTGTTAAAGAGATATTACACACTCTTCTCCTCACTTGGGGTTCAATCTAGAATTTAATTAAGATATAACACACTTAATCAAATATCTAGAACCTAACACTCACACTTAAGGAAACCAACCTTAAGATATAGAAATTAGGATTTAAAATAACAAACACAGTGGTTTATTACTTGGAAATGAAAAGGAATACAATCTGTTTTCAAATGAGGCCTATGGCCGAAATAAATAACAAGGGAAAGGGGGAAATTACAAGCTTTGTTCCTTAATCAAATCACCAAAATATGACTTAATATGATATGCCTTGATGGAATGAAATAAAAGTGGAGTGTAGTGTTTGTGGGACTTGGGTATTTCGGCC